TGTTTTGGGTTGTTTGGGGTGGTTTTGGGGTGTTTTTGGGGTGGTTTTGGGGTGTTTGGGGTGTTTGGGGTGGTTTTGGGGTGATTGGGGATTTTTGGGGTGTTTGGGGTGGTATTGGGGTGGTATTGGGGGGGTTTTGTGGTGGTTTTGGGGTTGTTTTGGGGTTTTGGGGTGGTTTTGGGGTGTATTGGGGGGTTTTGGGGTATTTGGGGTGTTTTGGGGTGGTTTTGGGATGGTTTGGAATGGTTTGGGATGGTTTGGGGTTGTTTTGGGGTTTTGGGGTGGTTTTGGGGTAGTTTGGGGTGGTGTTGGGGTGATTGGGGTGTTTTGGGGTAGTTTGGGGTAGTTTGGGGTGGTTTTGGGGTGATTGGGGTGTTTTGGGGTGTATTGGGGTGGTTTTGGGGTATTTGGGGTGTTTTGGGGTAGTTTGGGGTGGTTTTGGGGCTGTTTTGGGGTGATTTGGTTGTTCTGAGGTAGTTCTGAGGTTGTTTTGGGGTTGTTTTTGGGGTTGTTTTGGGGTATTTGGGGTTTTGGGGGGTTTTGGGGTGGTTTCAGTTGTTTTGGGGTGGTTTTGGGGCTGTTTTGGGGTGGTTTTGGGGGTGTAAATGTGATTTTGGGGTGGTTTTGGGATATTTGGGGTATTTTTAGGGTGGTTTTGGGGTGGTTTTGGGGGGGTTGGGGTGGTTTAGGGTGATTTGGGACATTTTTGGGTTGATTTTGGGGTATTTGGGGTGATTTTGGGGTATTTGGGGTGATTGGGGGGGTTTGGGGTGATTTTGCGGTGGTTTTGGGGGTGTAAATGTGATTTTGGGGTGATTTTAGGGTTGTTTTGGGGTGATTTTGGGATGTTTTGGGTTATTTGGGGTGATTTTGGGCCAATTTTGGGGTTATTTGGGGTTGTTTTGGGGTGATTTTGGGGTTATTTGGGGTGATTTTGGGGTGATTTTGGGTTATTTGGGGTTATTTGGGGTGATTTTGGGTGATTTGGGGTTATTTGGGGTGATTTTGGGTTATTTGGGGTGGTTTTGGGTGATTTTGGGGTGATTTGGGGTGATTTTGGGTTATTTGGGATATTTTGGGTTATTTGGGGTGGTTTTGGGGCGATTTTGGGTGATTTGGGGTGATTTTGGGGTGATTTTGGGTTATTTGGGGTGATTTGGGTTATTTTGGGTGATTTTGGGTGATTTTGGGGTGATTTTGGGTTATTTGGGGTGATTTGGGTTATTTTGGGTGATTTTGGGGTGATTTTGGGTTATTTGGGGCGATTTTGGGTGATTTGGGGTGATTTTGGGGTGATTTTGGGTTATTTGGGGTGATTTGGAGTGATTTTGGGTGATTTTGGGGTGATTTTGGGTTATTTGGAGTGATTTTGGGTGATTTTGGGGTGATTTTGGGTGATTTTGGGGTGATTTTGGGGTGATTTTGGGGTGATTTTGGGTGATTTTGGGGTGTTTTTGGGCTGTTTCGGGGTCCCCCAGAGCGCGAGGCCGACAGTGAGGAGGAGGAGGAGGAGGAGCCCCTGGAGATGAAGAAGCCGACGACCGACGAGGTTTGGGGGGATTTGGGGCAATTTCGGGGTCCAAATCCCGGCGGTTTTGGGGTCCCCGGCTCTGGGGGGGGGTTTGGGGTTCCCAGGTGAAATTTGGGGTTCCCAGGTGGAATTTGGGGTTCCCAGGTTGAATTTGGGGGTTCCCAGGTGGAGTTTTGGGGTTCCCAGGTGGGAATTTGGGGGTTCCCAGGTGGAATTTGGGGTTCCCAGATGGAATTTGGGGTTCCCAGGTGGGAATTTGGGGTTCCCAGGTGGAATTTGGGGTTCCCAGATGAAATTTGGGGTTCCCAGGTGGAGTTTTGGGTTCCCAGGTGGAGTTTGGGGTTCCCAGGTGGAATTTGGGGTTCCCAGGTGGAATTTGGGGTTCCCAGGTGGAGTTTTGGGGTTCCCAGGTGGAATTTGGGGTTCCCAAGTGGAATTTGGGGTTCCCGGGTGGAGTTTGGGGTTCCCAAATGGAATTTTGGGGTTCCCAGATGGAATTTGGGGTTCTCAGGTGCAGTTTTGGGGTTCCCAGGTGGGAATTTGGGGTTCCCAGATGGAATTTGGGGTTCCCAGGTGGAGTTTGGGGTTCCCAGGTGGAGTTTTGGGGTTCCCAGATGAAATTTGGGGTTCCCAGGTGGAATTTGGGGTTCCCAGGTGGAGTTTTGGGGTTCCCAGGTGGAATTTGGGGTTCCCAGATGGAATTTGGGGTTCCCAGGTGGAATTTGGGGTTCCCAGGTGGAGTTTGGGGGTTCCCAGGTGGAATTTGGGGTTCCCAGATGGAATTTGGGGTTCTCAGGTGCAGTTTTGGGGTTCCCAGGTGGAGTTTGGGGTTCCCAGGTGGAATTTGGGGTTCTCAGGTGCAGTTTTGGGGTTCCCAGGTGGAATTTGGGGTTCCCAGGTGGAGTTTGGGGTTCCCAGGTGGAATTTGGGGGTTTCACGTGCCTGGGTGAAGTTTTTGGGGTTTTTGGGGTTCCTGAGCACTTTGGGGTCTCTTTTTGGGGTTTTTGGGGTTTTTGGGGTCCCCGAGCACTTTGGGGAGCTCCATTTGGGGTTTTTGGGGTTTTTGGGTTTTTTGGGGTCTCATTTTGGGTTTTTGGGGTTTTTGGGGAGCTCCATTTGGGGTTTTTGGGGTTTTTGGGTTTTTTGGGGTCTCATTTTGGGTTTTTGGGGTTTTTGGGGAGCTCCATTTGGGGTTTTTGGGGTCCCATTTTGGGTTTTTTTTTGATCCCTCACTTTGGGGTCCCATTTTGGGTTTTTGGCGTTTTTGGGGTTCCATTTGGGGTTTTTGAGGTTTTTGGGGTCCCATTTTGGGGTTTTGGGGTCCCATTTCAGTTTTTTGGGGTTTTTGGGGTTCCAAGCACTTTGGGGTGCTCCATTTTGGGTTTTTGGGGGTCCCTGAGTGTTTTGGGTGCTCCATTTGGGATTTTTGGGGTTTTTGGGGTTTTTGGGGTCTCATTTCGGGGTTTTTGGGTTTTTGGGTTTTTTGGGGTCTCATTTCAGGGTTTTTGGGGTTTTTGGGTTTTTGGGGTGCTCCATTTGGGGTTTTTGGGTTTTTTGGGGTCTCATTTCGGGGTTTTTGGGTTTTTTGGGGTTTTTGGGGTCTCATTTCGGGGTTTTTTGGGGTTTTTTGGGTTTTTGGGGTGCTCCATTTGGGGTTTTTGGGTTTTTTGGTGTTTTTG